CCCCCCACCTCACGCTCTTGTGCTCCTCGGACAGCACCAGCCGCGGATGCGCCGTGTCCGGGTCCAGCGTCAGGCTGACTGCGGATGGAGTGAGGAGGAGCGTCACCACCGCAGCCCCATCCCAAGGCCATCCCCATCCTCCCCCTCGGCCTTTGGGATGCCGCCTCTCCAGGTTCCTGCTTGCTGGAGCAGTGCAGGAACGGGTTTATGCCCATGAGTAAAATGGGAAGAGTAGGAAAGCTGCATTGATTTGGAGGGTGGGTATTTTGGAGGGTGGGTATTTTGGAGGGTGGGTATTTTTGCTGGCCACCCTTGGGTGTCCCATCACTTCCCCTTTTCAATGGAAATATTTGCAACGTTCACCTTTGAGAGGTGATTTCCAAAGGCAATGCTGCCCCTCTGTGAGCATCCCAACACCTACTGCGCACCCCGAGCTCTGCCACAGGCAAACCTGCCCTTTCCCACTTCTGCTGCGCTGATGCAGGCGCAGCTCTGCAGGGCAAGGTGGAAGCATCTCTCCACGGCACTTCTGTGTAGCTGAAATGTCCTCCTTCAGACCTGCCCCAGCCTCAAACCCTTCCCAGGCTCTCTGTACCTTGACATTTCATCAGCATCTCTTTGAGGGCAATGTTTTTCGGAGGGGGAGCGTTGGGTTTCTGCCCCAGCTCAGGCGATGTCTCCACTGGCTTCTGGGCTCCATCCTTCTCAAGCCTGGAGAGAAGGAAGACCTTCCTGAGAACATTCCTTTGCTCATAATGGCCATTATGACTCATTTTCAACTGGGGCTTCCTATAAAGAACTGAGAGACAATAGGACTGGAGAGAAGGCTTGGTCCTAGTCCTTGGTGTTTAAACCTTGCTGGGTTTGGTGGCCTCACGAGGGCAGGGAGGGATAACTCAGCCCTCCAGGGGCAGGTAGTTTTGCTGCATCCGAGCTGGAAGTACCATCATCCCATCTGATACCTTCTCCTGGCCTTCAGCATCCTACTTGGACCTTTTGTGGTGTCCTAGTTGTCTCCTGTATGTCTATATGGTCCCTAGCAGAAGGGGGTCAGAAGTTGTTTGGGTTCTGAAGCCCATCAGTGTCACCACCGCAGAGATAAAGGACATGAACATCACCAGAAAGGAGCCACAAACCTGCTCAAGATGTTGCTGCTGTCCTGCAAGGGAAGGATGAGAGAAGGAACATTAGGTCAGAGCAAAGCCTACCTTCAAGCAACAAGCAGCCACCACAGGGCTGTGGGGTGACCTCAAGGCTCTGCTCTGCCTAAACGATGGTCTAAAATGAGCCCCACGGTGCTTGCAGACCTGGGGGTGAAGTGAGGCCGCGGCAGCATCCTTTAATGAGCTTTAACGAGGTGAGCCATTGAGCAGAGCCTGGAGGTGGGCTCAGGGGGTTTCATGACGATCTAAAGGTGAGGTGAGCACCTCTTGTTCCTCCACTGCACATGAAGGAACCCGGACAACGTGTTGGATGTGGACATGTACAACCATGTGGATGAACCCATCCCAGTGCAAGCAAACAGGGATATGAAACATTCCAAGGGGGCAGTTGGGCCGTGCTGTGAGCATGGAAGAAAATCCATTAAAACCCCAAAGAGCTTGGAAAGATGCGTCTTTAAAGGAGCATTTAGATTGATCTGACCCCTGGGCTGGGGCTCCAGTGGGGCTCAGGCCTTCCGAGGGTCCTCACCTGCAGGAGCTCGCACGCTGGCTGCTGACACTTCTCCTCCAGCTCACGGACCTGCTCACTGATGGAGGAGATCTCCCCCAGGAGCCTGCTGATGTTCTCCTCCTGCCTCCTCACGATGTCCTGGTCCAGCCTGGCCAGGCGCTCCAGCAGGAGGCGCTCTTGCCCCGCCACGGACCTCTGCAGCTCCTTCACTTGGGACACAACCTTGTGCCGAACCCCTTCCACTTGTTCCTGCAGGGAACACACACACACGGGAGGCCAGGATGGGGTGGGAGAACCACAGTGAGATGGTTTATGGGTGACTCCGACCCCGGAGCCCACTGCAGGGCACGGGAATTGCTAAAACACTTCTTTTTGCCTTTTCCAGGCTTCTTTCTGGCTTCCCTTTGCCAGAAACTTCCAAGACTTCCATTTCCCATCGACCATAATCCCTGTCCCCGAATGCTCCACACCTTTGAGCAACAAAGGAAGAGATAAAATACACCCATGAACAGATTAGTTGGGGAAAAGGAATCTGAGGCAAAGGAGAAGCAGTTGGGTGATTCCCGTTTCCTGCAGGAATTAGGAGGGGGAATGTGGGAACATGCCCCACTTGTGAGGAAACCAAGGAAGAAGATGCACAATAACCTGGGAAAACCCAACACGTGCTCCCAGCCTGCTGAGACACGCATGGAGCAGGGACATAGGGAGAATGGGAGCGTGTTTGATCTACTCTGGGGACATGCTGCTGCCACTGACCCATGGAGAGGACATTCCTGTGACATGGCACATCTGGTGTCTCCACATCCATCACCATGGCCAGAGAGAGGGACAACCAAAAGGGAAGGGAGAAACCAGGGACGGGCACTTACGAGGAGGTCCAGGCTTTTCCCTTCCTCGGCCTTTTTCAGCCCCAGCAGCTTTTCTCTCCTGTCCTTCAGGACCTGCACGTGAGACTGGAGTTTCTCCTGAGTGGAGAAGAAACACCTTCGTGGTGCATTTCCTTCCTCTGGCTGGTCCATCCCTCTACCCCCATCCCACCTAGCCAGGTTTCTCTCTTACAAACTCACATTCTTCGCTGCTTAATAACATAGAATCATGGAATGGTTTGGGTTGGGAAGGACCTTAAAGCTCATCCAGTTCCAACCCCCTGGCATGGGCAGGGACACCTTCCACTAGATCAGGTTGCTCCAACCTGGTCTTGAACACTGCCAGGGATGGCTCATCCAAACCTTCTCTATTCAACCCATTCCAGTGTCCCACCACCCGCAGAGTGAAGAACTTCCTTATCTCCAGCCTGAACTTCCCCTTGTTTAAGCTTAAACCCATCACCCCTTGTCCTGTCGTTACAAGGAGTAATCCTCAAGCAGATCAACCCATCCTCAAGCAGATCTACCCGTGGGGCATCTCCCTCGACCTTGGTCCCCTTCTCCTCCCCATGCCACTCATGGACGCTCCCCACCTTGTGCTCCTCCGCAGCCTCCTCGATGGGGACCACGCTGTGGCCGCGGTGAGCCTGGGACTCCCTGCACACGAGGCAGATGGGGCTCTGCTCCTCCTCGCAGAAGAGCTTCAGAGCCTCCTGGTGCTCGCGGCACAGCCCGTGCCCGGCTCTGCCCGCCTGCACGCTCAGCCTCTGACGCACCGCCAT